TGGCATCCACCTCCTGGGCAATGGAGACTGCACGTGCGTACGTCTGAGTCCCGTGTCCCACGATGTTATGGCGAACTACTGGGTAAAGTCCGTCAATGAACCGCTGCGCTCTCTGGGCCTCCGTGCGAACAAGATCCGGTGCGAAACCTGCAAGTCTAGTGAACTCTCGCTCGTACTCATCGACAGTACGAGTGCCCTGCTGAAGCGCTAAGAACTGGCGCTCCATCTCTGCCCGATAGTAGGAAGGGTAGTACTTGTCGCGGACTAGCTCCTTGAACATGTCGCATGTACAACCCGCCTTTTCACCAGGATGCATGCTCCAGTAGGCATTCCACCAGAGCCTTGCATCACCAGTGAGCTGAAGCTGAGCGCAAACTACGCGGTACCTATCGGGGCATTCCATAACCTCAAAGATAAACTCTAAGCCCTGAATCCATTCATCAACGATGCAGGGATATCCCTGCCCTGAGAACTTTTCGGCGTGATAGTCGCGGAACTGGGCGACTACCGTAGCCTGAGTAGGAACCTGATGATCGGGTTCCCTACGTGGCGGCATCTGAACATTGAGAAAGTTTAACATTACTGAATACGTGATAACATTACTGACTGATTACTAAGGCGCACAAATCTCTTGACGAGTAGCTAAAAGTGGCCGATAAATACTGACGTGAAACCTGAAGAACTCTAGAGTCATATCGAAAAGATACTAAAGTTTAGAGTCATATCTGAATGCCTGAATTCTAGAGTCATATCCGAACTCTAAAGTCTAAACCTGATTTGAGCATCTTAACTAAAGTCCTGATCCTTAATTCTGAGCATAGACAAAGTAATATGTTTATAACTGAAAAACTGAATCAGCACTTACCTGTCGTCGGCGGGGCGTGAGCATGACGGTTCAGGTTTTTCTGAAAAATATTGACTGAAAAACTTGTCAGAGACGCAGAAACGTGCTCTGATACCAATTGTAACACCCCTCCTTACTGTCAAATCAGAGTGCGCAATTATTCGCAAAGTCTTTTAAAAATAAAACCTTTTTACTTTGCGAAAACTGATTAGGGGTGCTACCTTTAAAAATCGTGACTTAACTTAGAAAACCGTTATTTTAATTTTAATAAAATCGTCCGGTTACTTAAATCATAAGTTCTCAAAATTTCGTCAAACGAGTACGTCAAAAGTCATAAAAACATCATCAAAAGCCATCAAAGTATCGTAAGCGGAAGCGAAAGTCATCATAATTATACAGTCCAAAATATAAATATCTTGAAGTCCCGTCACGTCATGCTCATGCTCCCGGCCCGACGTCCTGACCTGAAAAACATGATGAAACTGGGGAGTGAGCACTATGGCACTGTGCTCCGTGGAAACTCATACTAATGTAAAACATCGTAAATAATAACAATATCATGAACTAAGCATATATAACTGAACTGAACTGAAACTGATATCTGATACCGGTCCGATCTCGCGACATAAGTAACGTAACTGATAACTGAAATCTGTCGGCACAAACTAATACCGCAATCTCCCG